AACGCGTCCACTGCACTGCATTTACTTTACTGGAGTCATGTGAGTACAATTTACATATGTTTTAGAATGAAGTCATGCATAAACCAGTCCAACTTCTTTGTTTCTGGTTGTGTTTTGTGTGTACATTTAACTGTTAGCCTGGGGTTTACTCTCTTTACTAATTCCAAACTTGTGAATCTCCATTATTACAGTAAACGCTGGAGCACGTTCTTGACCTGCTGCTTCTAAAAGGGGAAGCTTCTCGTCTGTTCAGTCAGTGTGATCGATTCTTCTGCCCTCCCCGGCCTTGCCCCTCTAATGTAATAAAGCAGGTTGCTCTTCTAGACAGCACCAATCAATCTAAAGAGCCAATCTTCCTGCCTCTGGGCTCAGCCGGCCAGCCCTAACTGGGTAAATGAAGACAGAGCCCCATCGATCACAAATAAGCACAAACGCACACACACACATGCGCATTTGTGCACACGCAAGGACATGTCAACAGGCACACATACCAAATACATCAAAAAGCTTGCCTAGAGGGAAGAAGGGAGAGAGAGGAAGAAAGAAACAGCAATGCAAAGAGTGAACCCAGACAAAACGTCATACCTGTTTTTGCATTTCAATGTTGAGACCGTAGGACATCTCATAGTACTGAGAGAGATGAGACAGTCACACAGTTAGTCTGCTGGGATACTGTCAAACAAAAAGCTTACACAATTCAAGGATCAGATCTCAAACTCGGAAATGAGATTGATATTTGGGATTAAAAAGGTACAGTTGCTAGTAAAACAATTGTTATTGTATGGAAGCGGTTTATTCATTTATTACCTACCGCTGAATCTTTGGGCAGGTGGGGAGAGGTGAGGGTTTCCTTAGGTTTACACTAAGGCAAGGAATTACAGTCACACTGAAATTAATCAATAAACTGATGGATTCATAACATCAGTTAAAAATAAATAAATAACACAACTGCAAGCAATCTGATGGAATTTTCTTAACAATGCCCCTGCTGGGCTAATACTCTTAACCAGCGGTGCCCAAAACAGATCGAAATCTACCAGGAGATCTTAAAGGGAGTGCTGGTAGCTCCTGAGCAATTACATTTAAACATTTACATTTTTTTTTAAATAAAAATTTATAGATTTAATTCTATTTAAAGATGCTTATTACTAGGGCTAAAGTAAGGATCATAGAAGTTGAATTGAATTGAGTCAGACGATATTGTACCATACAGCTACAGCCTTTTTTTTTTTAATCGTCTTTGTTGTCATTGTACCACGGAGATACATCAGAACTGAGCCTCTGCTTTTAACCCATCACCAACATGAGCAGTGGGCAGATTTAAGCGCCCAGGGAGCAAAGCAGTAAATATACAGTATATTTATAGTTTTCAATGTAGGTAGATCACTTTACCGCAGTCATTTGAAAAAGTAGCTCCGAAGCCAAAAAAGCGTGGATACCCCTGCTCTTAACTGATCATCTGCTTCACATTTGCTCCCATGTTCTTGCTCATTGTTTTGTAAGCATACACTTACAGACTCCATGATTATTTACCAGCTATATTTTTCTGATCGGCATTTTTTGAACCTCTAAAGGGGTTTATGTGCATCTTCGTTGGAGATGCAAGGACAAGCCAGGGGGATCACATCTGTTGCCACTGAAAGTCAAACTGGGGAAAAGCTAAATGTCACAAATATAAGGTCTCGCCTACACCATCCTGTTCATGAAATCTTTCTGTCTTGACATATCCTTTTAGAGACACTTTGTGACAATGCTCATGTCTAGTGCTCAGTTAAGATGGTGCTTTTAAATATATTAGTGCACACCCAGGTTTAGTTTTTAATGTTGCAGTTAACCACACTGAAATAAGGAGTGACACCAATGTCCGTCTTAACCAAACTAAGCCAACAAGAGTGGACACAGCCTAAGCCTTATCACACCTGTCAAACCTTTGCACCTTGTGGGTGCCTGTGTCACATTTTAACTGACAGTAAAACTGTGCTATGCTCATTATTAGTTTATCCAACTAGTTTTTCTGGTGGTAGTGGCAACCTGTAATGGTTGGGTGAGTAATAGAGAACATCTCAGCTACTGATAAATACAAAGTCAAACAGTTTTAATACATTCGTAAACCTAAGTCACAAGCCTGAGTAACTAAACCAAACTCACACAGTGTTCCACTGGTTCTTTGTTACACAGTTTTTGGGTGAAACAATTCAGTGCAAGGAGCTTACCATGATGTAGTGTCTCTGCATCTCTGTCTTCTCACTGGCCAGTTTCTCACATTCAAGTTTGAGACTAATATGAGAAAAAGAAAAACAAACAAAAATAATCATTTGACACTGTGTCATCAGTTGGCAGAATTAAAACAGTAACTTACCAACCCTAAGCCTAAATTTATTATTTGTCTTTGTCATTTCTAAAAAAAACTTTGTCATCTAGCAACTCACTCATTTCAACCTCAATGGTTGTATTTTTTTTATCTCTTCTTTAAATTGTAGGACTTTTTTAATTGTGTGTTGGTCATTCTGCTACAACAAAAACCACCCAGCAGTAAACCCAGAGAGACAGAATAATGTCTTGTAAAACATACACAACAAAAACATAAAAACAGATGTACACAGCCTTTATGTCAGAGAATGTTCTCAGTTAAAAGCACTTAAGCTGAATGTTCTTTGGAGTAACCCTGCTTTGTGTGTGAGAAGCTAGCTGTTTGTGGGTTGAATCTTTTACCTGTTGCAGCCAACCTTTCCCAGCAAAACAAATAAGTAAAAGCCAGCAGAGACATACACATTAGTGATGGGAAGACCGACTGTTTTTACTGATTCAGATCTTTGACTCTCGAACAGTAAAATGAACGAGTCATGAACGAATCTTAAACTAATAATTTCATTCATTTTACAGCAAGTGGCGCTTTGGCCCTATTGTGGGCGTTGTAAAGAAGGCTGCGGTTCTCCAAGGCACCATGGTTTGCTTCCACTGACAAAGTCTAAAAAGTACACAAAATGCCATAAGCAGTGTGAAAACCTAAGAAAGAAAAACACACCACAATGTGAAGATGAATGAGAGCAAAGAGACCCAAGCTCTCTGTCATGTGACAAATGAAACGAATCTGCGACAACGAAGCGAAAGATTAGTTCACAGAGAGTCATTCGTTCAAAGTGAAAGATTAGTCCACAGCGAAACATTAGTTTACAGAGAGTGATTTGTTCGTAGTGAAAGATTAGTTCACAGCGAAAGATAAGTCCACAGAGAGTGATTAGTTATTAGGGAAAAGATTAGTTCCCAGCGAAAGATTAGATCACAGCGAAAGGTTAGTCCACAGAGAGTGATTTGTGAGTGATTCGTGAGTTCAATATGAACAAATCTTTCATATGACATGGGAGTCACGAGTCATCGCGAACGACACATCACTAATACACATATATACAAGGCAAAGAACACACAAACTTAGACCATCCTTTTTCTCCTAACACACAACCCACACGTGCACACGCAGGGAGGAAATGAGTGACCTCAGCTCACACGCCACCCTCTGGCTCTCACCCATCACCATGACTTTGGACCTACCGCAACACAAGCACTGACACTGATGCATGTGCGCTTACTTTTTTGTAGATATGAACCTAATCCAGGTTTATAGGTTAGCATCATGCCAAGCCCCAACAGTTTTGTTCATTATGGTAATTGGGTTGACAGTGGTTAGGGTGAAGTTTAGTGTTTGTGGTTAGTTGACAATGAGAATATGGCCTGTCAAAGGCATGTGTTTACTGAGTGACGTTTGTAATGTTTTTAGTTAGTTAGAAGCAATAAGCATATCAAAGATACTTATTGTCATGGACATCAAAGCCTGATTTAAAGGAGCCTGCAGGAGAATCTCATATATGATGAGAAATGTGGGTAAATGAAGACAAATATTAGACGTTTCAATGAATAAAAATAAGGCTTTTGGATGGGTTTGTAAAAATGACTGAAGGTCTAAAACTACACATACCCATATGTGTGAGGTATCTTGTTTTAACATCTCTCTTGAGGCATCTAATCACATGCTTATAAAGGTCAGGCAGCTTTTAACGAACTAAACTAGGGTTGGGGTTTTTTTTTGTGACACTTTTAGAATCCAAAAAACAACAAGGTCCCTCAAATGTTTAAATTCAGTGCACAACCTACAGCAAAGAAACCAGGGAATAATCAGAATTACTTTATGAAATTAAGAGCTATTTTGTTCAAGCTTAATTTAACTTAAAAGTGAACTATCAAAATAGTTGTCAACCTTTTTAGTGGTTTATTAACTATAAGACTTTAAAGGCCTAGTTGATCAGGTGTGATCAGCACAACCACATCAGAAGTTGGTTTATGGACATGTGACCACATTCCTAAACATGCACATGTTACACCTCAGGACATATGACTGGCTCCTCAGCTGATGTCTTTTGACCTACTGCATCATTCCACACATTTGTTTTAAAACTGTTATCACAAATAACTCTAGAGTTGCTGGCCATGAAAAAGGGATTATTTTGGAGACTTATTTATTACAAAACTACATCCTTTTATTTGTTGTGTCTCAGTGCTTTCCATATACTTAACCAATAACTGTGTTGAAGCTACTGTAAAATCAACTTTAGTCATAAGTTCTCTTTTGTTGCAGTCAAAACCTTATTTTGTGTTATAGTCTGTCTGATCTGGTCAGATGCATTCTATTGGCAGGTGTTAACTGCTGCACTTAACACTGTCCACGTGTGATAGGAACATGAATGTTTATGTTATCCACCTGTGGTACTGTGCTTGGAGAAACTGGAATTCCTCCTTGATGCGGTCCAGTGATTCTGGGATGGTGAACTTGAAGGGCTGGCCTGGAGCCTGGTGGGGAGTCTGAAACAGACCCACAAAAGAGAAGGCTATTGACTAATTATGAGCAGCGGTTATCCTCATTCCAAGGGAGGAAGGAAAAGAAAACAAAAGTGAACTCCTTGTCATTATGTCATTGTGATACAATTCACACAACGAAATTTGACCTCTGCATTTAACTCCTCACCAAAGTGAACAGTGGGCAGCTTTGAGCTGCTGGGGAGCAGCTCAAAGCATGGTGCCATGCTCAGAGCACCTCAGTGGTAACTTGGCAGCTGGTGGACTCAAACCTGAAACCTTCCAGCCCCAAGTCCGCTTCCTTATCCACTAAGCCACCACTGCCCCAAGGTGATATGCAATGTCAACATATAATTATTAGTAAGTATTAAACAAATAACATTATCAGTTCCACACTGTTGCTCAGCGCAGGTGCACAGGCCAGTTCACAAGAAAAATAAATAATAATAAGTCAAATAAGTTTGATGTGGTCATGGACTAAACGAGGAGTATGTTAAATCAACACAGCGTCTAAAAAGACAAAGACAAACACGGTGTTATCAGACAGGCTTTGGCAACAGCCAGGTGAAGTACTGTCGAAGCAGGAAGGGCAGAGTCTTACCGAGTGTCGCCCCTGGGGAAACATCGCTGTCTCCGAGAGGATGTAACCGGTTTCTGCTGAAAACCAAGTTAGGATGTAGGATGGTGGCTTCTCCGGTTTAAGACTAATCCATCCGCTGGTGGTATTACGACCAACTATGGTTCATTAAAAAAAAAAAAAACACCGCCAACTGCCTCCTCCCTCGCTACTGTACCGTCCCAGTTCACCGGCCGTTGAATGTGAATCCCTGCTTTCACTCTGCTCTCTCTCTTGGTCGATGTGTGTCCTCAGGTCTAAAGGCGCTGCGACCGTAAATCAACCGGGAAAACACTGGAAACGGCTCATTAGTTGGAGGTAGCTAAATCACTGCCCCTTCCTCCTGTACCTATTTGAGAAACTAGAAACCACGAGGCTGGGGCACTTCATTCACTTCGACATCTGCGGGGTCCGGTGTACTCCAGAGCAAAACAAAAAAACACAANATATATATATATATAATAAACAAACTAGAGAGAGATTCAAGCGGCCAGACAGTGAAGAGATCGCCGTTAATTGTTGGCCGTGGGAGCATCAGAGACTAATCCACACAAGTTAATTGAAGTGAAGAGTTGCCAATTGACTCGTCTACGGACGCTAGATGGCTGTTTGACAGCCGACAATAACAAAAATATTCACTTCTCTCATTGCTGAGTTTAGACCCAAAGTGTATCCGTAAAATAAATGAAGAAAAAAAGAAAGAAAATATGTTGTCAGGTTTTGAAACAACTCCCACACAGCGAACATAGCCCACCGTCCAGCTCTGCTTTACTTCAATGGCAACTTTCTCATGCGGTTTCACGCTCTCCTGCTAACCAACACTGTGGACCTGCCCACAAAACACCTTCGGACCAATAGGAATTGCTGTTCCACGTGGAGACAGAGGTGTGAAGACTGATGTAAACCAATAGAAGCACATAAAACTCAATAGATCCGTTGACTTGTCTAAGCTACGCTGCTTCTGGCCAATAAGCGCGTCGCAGAAAGATGCCACTCTCCAGGCGTGCGTGAGGGGAAGGCAGAGCTGTCAATCAAAGTAACGTGGGTATGTGCATACACAAACACGCGTCCATAAACCAACACATTTGTCTCTCTATGTTTGCTAGGACTACTCGCAGACACAAGGCATTCTGCAGCCCCTCACTCAATCATAAAAGTCCAAAATAAATGTCTTCTAAGATGACTCTAAATCTAACTGAAGAAAATGCAGTTAACCTGAAAATACCGCAAGAGTAAGTGGGGGTCTTCAAAATTAGTGATAGTAAAAGTAGAATATAAAAATAGAAAAACATTTTCTAGCCGTGAAAACAGCCATATAATTAAAATAATGTAGTTTATACTCTGTAACCTAATTTAATCCCGAATGTGTCCTTCACCTTTAAACCATGTTTACCCACATTTGTAAATGTTTTAAAATACACCTAAATCTGTGTCCCCACAATACCTTTTCATATTTATCCTGAACACACCCTCCAAACACACACACACTCACACACTAACAAAAATTGCAAATCTATTCAAATCTCTATCTTCTTTACCCTGTGTAACAATACACAGGGTGAAAATGTATTTAGTAGAACCTAAGGTTGTCAGCTGAGCCCACACTTGAAAATTATGGTACATATGTGCTACACACCTTGCTCATATAATGCATTTTTGTACTATATTGATGCTTTATGAATTGCTTGGGTTTGATGGTGGCACAATTCAATAGGTCACATTCTTATCCCTTTTGTTTTTCAAATAAAAGAGAAATAAAGTGGTTTGATGAACCACTTTATTTTCACAGAATTATAATGATACTATTCAAATGTACAAAAATAAGCAATACTTATGTAGCTGAAGAAACCTTAACTACAAAAATAGTGCTCATGAGTGAAGGACAGTGAAAATACATGTACTCACATGTTATTTATCTGAATATAATAAAAAAAGTGACACCTTTATTATTTACCTTAAATTGAGATCATCTAAATGCAGCTGATTTAAGGAGTTTAAAAACCACTTTAAACCACAGAATATTTTGTATTTCCTTACTTTGTTTATTGACATACCTTCTTCTTGAACTTTGGTTATATTTAGTGATGAGAACTGGTTTAGACTCAAATGTACTTTGTAGAAAGAGAAGTAACAGCTTTGCATTTTGGGTTTGATAATATTCTGTCGCCAAGCTTATTTCACTGTTTTACATTTATTACCATATTTCTTCATTTACAACCAGAGCAGGTGCTGGCAGGTGCTGACAGTATGATGGTTCTGTTGGGTGAATAAAGAGTTGACCGACCTTCTCTTAACTCAAGGACAGATACTGGTGGCTTGGTGGTTAGGAATGTGGATTTGGGTCTGGAAGGTTTCAGGTTTGAATCAACAAGATGCCACTGAAGTGCTCTGAGCAAGGGGACATCACTTTGGTGATAGGTTAAAAGGAGAGGTCACATTTTGTGGTGTGACAATGAAAAATTATTTTCTGTCTTTCTTTATTTCTTAAACCATTAAAAAGTGTATTTCTAACTTAGATGCATTTACTCCCAACTGTATGTTGTTGATAATATGGTATATGGTAAGTAGCTGTGGTGCTTTGGCCCACAGGGAATGTCTCTGTCATTGGTGTAGAACCACAGGGTTCACCTTCTGAGCAAGATTGAAGCCTGGTTAGGGCAGTTGGGCGCCTTCCAGTGGACTCACCACTCACAAGAAGGTTCACAAGGGGTTGGTGTGGTGCAGTGTTATTTGGGTAGCGATCATGGAGACTGCTGCCCCTGCGACCCAGTAACGGATAAGATGGATGGATGGTAAGTAGCTCCTGTATGTTAACCATTAGTGTTTTATTACTTTTTTCTTTCAACTTTATCTGAACCAAATTTGGTATAAATTAAAATTCACATTAAATGTCCTGGTCACGTGGTCATTTTATTTTGGGTTAAGTGAGAAATATAACTGTCCAGATAATTGAGCAACACAATCTGAGGTGAATGACCACCAACAGGTGTGATAAAGTGGCCATGTCATTTTGGCAAACAGCTTGAAACCGTGTCGGAAATCAGTGTACCACTTACCCCGTCTGAGCATTGCTCACTTCACAGGAAAAGCCTCCTCAGCCCCATGCTGACCCGTGAGTAGCGCAGAAAGCTCAACCCCTTACCCTGTGACCTCTGACCTGTGTAACGGCTGATCTAGTCCATATGAGAGACTTCTAACTGTGACCAGCCGTGACCTTTCCTGCGGGGTCTCACAAACAGTCACAGACACAGGTGTTGTCCTGTGGGTGGTAATGTTAGTCACAGTGGCGTGCACCCAAAACCACCATTAAACGTGTGTGTGTGTTTGATCCTATTTTCTCCATGTCTTGACGCTTGTCCTGACCTTACCCTCTGTTACCCAATCAGACTGTCTTGTAATATTAACCAATTACAATATTTAGCTGAACTGAAAGCAGGAAAAGAGAACGGCTAACAGTGATAATTGTTGATATTCAAGGCCAAAATCAAGGCCAATTATCTTTTGGAACACTATTATTCTAATAAAATGCACGGTTATTTCTGAAGTAGCTCTAGTTGTATCCAAGGGTACTCTAGTGCACCAGGATCGCTAGCATGTCATACATTCATCTTCCATTCAGAGAATGTGACCTAACATAGTGGCTCAGATAAAGAAACCGCTTTTAAATATTCTGTTTTCCAAACATCAGGATCTAGTGTTCTTCTGTAGACACCACACAGCGACAGTGACTAGTGTAGGTACTACCACAGTCCTTTTAAGGACTCTAACTCCCATAATTCCACTGCTTCCAGTAAATCCACATACGTCACGATCAGTGACCTCCGCAACCTTTAAATTGGGGGGTCAGCCCCAATTTCATTCTCTCTGTTCAGGACTTTTGCTCCGTAGGACCCCTGATGAAAAGAGAAACCTGCTCGTCTCAGAAGACTAAGAACCAACACGCTTTTGTAGACACCATTGCCCACGGTGATAAATGCACTAATAGCGTCTTTTAATTACCGGTTAACTCAGTTAAGAAAGCACTCAACCCATTGCACCTACACCAGGCACACATCCAGTAGGTAATGAGTTCCTGGCCTCCTGATTTCCTTAACAAATAGCCTTCACCTCACAAGTTCTTCACTCACCTGCCCCTCCCTCTGTCTCCCTCAGTCATTTGTTTAGAGTGGAGAAGCATACAATTAGCCTTTGCTTTGGATGAGATACAAGAACCTGTCATATAAGCCTCATTTGGTTTGCAATTTTTTTTCTTTTCGGATTTTAGTGGCTAAAACAAATGACTGCATTCTTTTGTTGGGGTGTGTGCATGTGTGTGTGTGTGTGTCTGTGTGTTGAGGGGTTGCAAAGGAGAAGTGGGTATTTTTGTTGTGACCTGGCCAGACCTTTGAGAGGATCTCCCAGATAATGAGTTAACAAGCAGCTTTGTGTGTGACAACAAATGGAGTGATCCCACTCTTGTCCTACTTACCACAAGAACAACGTTGGTTTATGTAAGCATCTGTGTGCATTTGTGTGTGAGGTCATATGCAAACATTATGTGATTTCTAGGGCTGTGTGCAATTTGAATGGGTAGATATGCACATTTGATTACTTTGGTTACTCTCAGTGTGCTTTGGAAGGAGGAAAAAAGGGTGTAAAAGAGTGTATTCATGGTCATGAGGTTTTGCGTGAGTCTGTGCATGTGTGTAAGACATCAATGGACAATTTGCATGACTGCCCCTGAGAGCCTCTTTTTTTGTTTTACTTTTAACTCTTCTATTTTACTGGGTAAACAAGGAAATTGCGTCAATAACACCAGCCACATTCTCTTCACACTGCTTTAGGAAACTAGGGACACTGCCTGGTTTCCTTTGTGGAACCCCCCCACCCCCTTGCCTCCATAGAACTTTTCTTTGTGCCAAGTGTACCCTCGTTGTGCAAGAGGAGGAGGGAACATAGAGGAGGTACATTATAAGTTGTTACCTCTAAAGAAAACAGCGATGTGATATATCAGGTTGTGTCTTTGTCTGTTGGCAGGATGAAGTGCTGCCACAAGAGTGTTGAAAGCAAAATGTAAACCCACACAACTATTAACTGATGCTGTTAAACATTAAGTACAGTTTAAAAACCTTTTTTTTTATTTACATCAAACAAACTTTTTTTGTGATTCCAAATTATAGGGCATCAAGTTACTGAAAACTGACAGTAAATAACATTTTTATGCACATATTTTGCATATACCATAATTTCCTAATATTCCTATACTATAAGCTGCTACTTACGTATATACTAGCGGAGTTCATACTGATAGCGATCACTGATTTTTCTGGTAGGCTACTGTGTGTTACGAGTACTACTAGTACTAGTAGCGTATGTCTGTGAATGGCCGTGTGCATATATGTGCGTGGGGCGGGCGAGAGAGAGAACAGTAAGGAAAGTTGAGAGCAGTTTGACTCTTGTCATGTTGAAGCGTGAGTTGGTTATACAGGAGCTGTTAAAACTCTGTTTATGTTCTGTTGTGCTCGGTGTGGCTGATAATAAAGACCACAACTCCTCTGTTTCTGGTTACCTCTGCTGCGGACAAGCAGAAAGGAATGTGAGTTAGCCCCGAATCTAATGTTAGCTTTGCCCCGGAGCAGATCACTAAGTCTCCCATGTGTATTTCAACTACGGTCAGGGCGCTGAAGCAGGAAAGAGCTAACGTGGAACTAGTCGTGTTACAGGCACTATTGGGGAAAAAAAATGATTTCATTAAAAGTGAAAAAAAAATCTTTCTGTGTAAATGTCCCATGTTTCAATGTGGACACTTGAGGCTTA